TATGGGAAAGATGGGCGATGTACCGGACAAAATAGCATAAGTAAGCGAACCTGGGTGGCTTTAAAGCCAGATTAAGGAGGTAGCAGTAAAATACGGGGCTGGTGTGGTTATATCACACATCCCCCGTATATATATTTTTTCAAATAAACGAAAGGTACCGAGACGAAAATGTGGGAAAGGATGTGCGATGTACCGGACAAAATAGATGGACGGCCATACAGACCGGGTAAGCCTGCTTTAGTAAAGTACCGGCGGGAAACTACCACGCGTGCAATTCAGGGTTGGAATACTCTTGGTTTTGTTGTTGGGGAAAGTAGTATTTAAGAATGAGTAGCATAGGGATTTTTACCTCAGTCTGAGTGACGTATGAGTGGAAGGATTGAGTTACCTCAACAGTGTGAGTTGAGGTGATGCTGGGGGACGATGTTGGCGTCACGATAGTAATGCTCACATCATCTTCTTCTTTTGTGTTATCCATGTTATGATTCTCAGAGTCTCTTACATTTCACTAATGGAAATCGTAAAATTTTCTAGTATTACTTTTAGACTTTTGTTATATTTCTAGATTCTAGTGATTCTTTTTATTAATATTGTTATTATTATTTATATGTTTTATATTCCCTGATTTCTCCCCCTCCCCCATCAAACTGTCTAGTAGAAATGCAATGGTACGGGAAGGAGGGATGAACTCAAGAGAGAGAAAAGAGATTTTGCCTGAGGACTAGGGGCTAGGGTTTATCCCCAACCTAACGGAGTATACCCGTCACCCACCCACCCAGCCCACGTTAAAGACATAGGAAGCTCAACACTAGTCTTGGCAAGCAAGATTGGGCACCACAAGGAAAGGTGAAGAGATGCATAAAAAGAAATGAGCAAAGGTCTACGGGAGGGAGAAACTAGGTTGTAGAAGCAGATACCCGGCGCCCGGCACAGGGCGAAGAGGTTTTCTCCCTTTCTCCTTTAACCTGTCCAGTCAATCCTTTGGATTCCAGAGTAATCAATGCTGGCAGGTATAACTCAAGACTCTTGTTCTGATATCCTCCAATTTCGGTTGTAAATGGGACGCTGGACCCGTTTTCAAGTAGGAGATGCTCTCCACCAATAGATGGAGTCTCTCCCTTGGTGCTAGCGGTGTCTGCTCTTACCAGCACCACTAACACTGGAGGGGGCTTGTTCGCAAAAAAAAAAAAAAAGCTAAGCGCCCGTGGTGCGGGCGGTGCGGGCTAAGCCCGCATAAATAAGAAATGTAGTGGGTGACCTCACATTGACCGCTCGCATAAACTCAGATAGACTTAAGAAAAAAAATTGAGAAAATCAAAGGCTAATAAAGAATATCCTCAAACCGACTCCGAAGTCGGAGCACAATTGACGAAAAAAAAAAAAAAAACGACAGATTGAAAAAAATCAGAAAAAAAGAGAAGGAGAAAAGGGGAGGAGAGAGAGACAGATAGAGAGAAAGAAACACACACACACACA